GGTGGCACGGACGGGCAGCAATGCCCTTGTGAACCCCGCGCTGGCACCGGTGCCGCAGCTCTGCCCCCCTCCAGCCCGGCGCAGCGCTGGTGCTGCGCTTTTTTTAAGCTTCCCTCTGTCTCTCGGCGGAGATTTGTGGCGTAAAATGCACAATATGTTCTATCTGCCCTGTGGGAGCCATAAAATATTCACCAGCAGCTCCCATTATAGTCACAGTGAATCACAGGGAGCACTCGAGCCCTCGCTCCCCGACGTGCCCCCTCCCCCTGCGGCCCCGGTGCAGCCTCGGGGCCCGGCCGTGCCAGTGCCAGGGCCTGAGGAGCAGCCAGTGCCCGCCCAAATCCCGCAGCAAGGACCCACATTCCCCCTCCATCCCTGAGAGACATCCCCGGGATCGGCGGGCTGAGGGCTGGTGACTGCACTGATGGGATGGCAGCTTACAGAATGGTTTGAGTTGGAAGGGACCATCTTGTTCCACCCCCCACTAACCAGGTTGCTCCAAGCCCCATCCAACCTGGCCTTGGACACTTCCAGGGATGGAGCATGGGCGGCATCTCTGGCTGCCTGTGCTGAGGCCTCACCACCTTCAGCTGCCTGAACACCCTCGTGGGTGCCCAGGGAGGAGCAGCACCAGCCCTGTGCATGAAGGAGACCAGGATAGTGGCAGCAGCAGTGGGGTGGGCTCACATGTCTACAGCAGCCTGTCCTGGCTGCCCTGTCCCACCACACACGGGCTGGTGTGTGAACATCCCCAGGGTGACTTGTGCTGTCACTTGGCTTTTTGCAGCCACAGCTCCCTGAGGGAGGTGTCACAGCCCTGCCAGGGAGGTGGGACAGCCCCTGCCTGCTCCTTGACTCTGCTGTCACACCTGTGTCTCACTGCTCTTCATATGGCTCAGTACCACAGCACTCCTCTGCTTCCACCTCCTCCCGTGTCCTGCTGTCCAGCATTCCGTTCCATCCATCCTTCCCTTGACCCACTGCCCATCCCCACCTCCCCCTTCCGACCTCAGACTCAAGACTGACAGAGCCAAGGGATGACAAATTTCCCAATAAAATGACACCCTGCTCTGGAGCTGATATGTCAAACACAATTTTCTCTTTTGCCACACAATTATATGTAATTATAAAGCAGTTAATGCTGCCTCTGCCCTTGGGAATCGGGCCCAATTAGGGTTGGATTTCACCTCCACCCCTTCCATGGCCACACTGCAGCTCTCAGCCCAGTCCATGAGCCTGGTCCATGATGTCTCCTCAGAGGTCCTTAGAGAGTCCCATTGTCCCAGTGTCCCAGGCAGCATCATTTCCATCCACTGCCATCCCTGCACCTGCTCCTGGAACTTGTGCCCCCTCCCAGCACCAGCCCACACGAGTGTCCCCGGCTGCACCGGGCACTGCCGTGCCAAGCTCCTGGCATAGCAGGATTTGCCCCCGGTGTGTTGGGTGGCACAGGGCTCACTGGGACATGGCTCCAGAGAGCCGTGGGCAAGGCAGGACACAGTCACCCACCTGGGCTGGTCATCATCACAAGGGCCACCACCAGGTCACCGGGCTGAGATGTCCCAGCACGTCCTGGGCTCTGAGCAGGCTCGGTGCGGGATGGGGGGACCGCGGTCACACACGGGGTCACCCCATGGTGGCCACACAACCCCCCGGGATAGCCGGGAGGGAGCAGGGCCCAGGCAGCAGCTTCCCAGGGCTGCCGCGAGGGTTAAACCCGGCTCCTCTCCCTGAACAGACTGAGGGAGAGGAGGGAGCGTGGCAGTGCCCTCCCCGCCAAAATTAACTCTCCATCTGTTTCTCCCCGGCTGAGGCTGATGGCTTGTGACAGGGCCTCCTGAATGCAAAGATGTTTCGCCCGGAAAAATCTATTACAAGTTGCTGTAAGAAAGACTGAAATCCTCTCCTTCTGTCTCTCCCTACTGGTCTCAAGGTGCCCACCCGGGGCG